AGAACGTTGGGCAATGTTGTTTGAACCAGGAGCACGTTGGACATCCTTTATGGGAAGGGCCTGGCGTGCAGCCCCTGCTTGCCGAAGAGGCCCCCTCTGTGCACTCTGACCTTGCTCTCCCATGTTCCTTTGTGTACCCTCCTCCTTCCTTTCCTCCGCAGTACACCGGTGCCCCTGTAGCCTACATCCAGCAGGTCCTGGTGAAAGCGACGGTCTCCCCGTGGCCCAAGCACTTCCTGGCCGTTGATGTGTTTCGATCACCCCTCTCCCGTGTCTTTCAGCTTGTGGAGGAAATCAGAAATCACGCCTTGCGCGACGGGTAGGTGATCCCGGTTCAGAGGGGGTGGCAGGCTTGTCCAGCAATTTGCTCTCGTTTGTCCTGTGGTCTGTTACTCCAGTAACGCTGCAGGAGGCTCTACATGGTGTCACGGGCTGGGGTGCCAGTCAGAGGGAGTCCAGAACAGGCCAAGGTTAGGAGCCAAGAAGACAGTGCAAAGTCCAAAGCCAAGCCGGGGTCAGGAGCCAGGAACACAGAGCCAAGTCCAAAATTACTAACCGGAAGCGTAGTCCAAAGCCAAGACGGGGTCAGGAGCCAGGAACACAGAGCCAAGTCCAAAATTACTAACTGGAAGCGTAGTCCAAAGCCAAGCCTGGGTCAGGAGCCAGGAACACAGAGCCAAGTCCAAAGCCAGGGGGTCCAAAGGTCTAGATGCAAGAGCCGAGCCGGAGTGGATGCTAGCAGCACAAAGCCGACTTGTTGCTTCCATGAAGGGTACTGCCCAGAGTGTGGAGTTAAATGCTCCAATTAGCCAGCTGCACGATCGGCCAGGCTCCTGTTAGAACTCTGGGCTAGCTGAGCGCCTCCCCTGTAGCCTGGCCTCTCATTGCCTGCTTGCTAAGTTTTGCCACAGTCGCTCCCTTAAATGAGTCATACGTGGGGGTGAGTCAGGAGGACTTTCAGCTTGCAGTTCTTCCTTCTTATCTGGGCTAGGTTTGAAGACTGCTGTTACAGGCCCTTGCCAGTGTGCCTCGGCTAGGTGGGACACCAATCTAAAGGAATAAATAAATAAATAATAAAATATCCTCCTCTGCTGCTTCAGAGGGGCCAGCTGTGGTTTCTGCAGGCTCTGTCAGCTCATCCTCATCCACGCCCATGACACGTGGCTGCATTGTGGCTGCTGAAGCATGGGAGGGTTCCTGTTCCACATGCAAAGGGAACTTCACCACCTAGGCAGGCTGTTTCATATCAGGGCAGATGTTCAGTATCCAGAGTCCCACGTGTGTCCTGATTTTTAAGATGATATCATGACACGCACATGAAGCTACCTTGTGCTGAAGCAGACTGCTGGTCCATCAAGGTCAGTGTTGTCTACTCAGACAGGCAGCGGCTCTCCAGGGGATCCGGCAGAGGTTTTCCACGTCACCTATTGCTTGGTCCTCTTAACTGGGGATGCTGCCAGGGATTGAACCCGGGACCTTCTGCATGCTAGCCAGATGTTCTTCCACTGAGCCACGGCCCGCCCGTAATACCACTTCACCTTTACAGAGAACTTCAGAGAGTGAGACATAAGCGCTGTTGGGCTCTCCCTCTCTCCCATGGCCCGATCACCCTTCCCTTACCCCACCCCATTGTGAGATTGTGGTAAGCTGCACTGTGAAGAGATGGATGGAGCAGAGGTCCATCAGTGGCTACTAGCCACAAGGGATAGATAGAAACTCAGTCTGGGGGAAGTGATGCTCTTGGTGCTTGGGGGGGGGGCAACAGTGGGAGGGGCTTCTGGTGTCCTCCTGGCCCCACTGCTGGACCTCCTGATGGCACCTGGTATTTTTGGCCACTGTGTGACACAGAGTGTTGGACTGGATGGGCCACTGGCCTGATCCAACATTGGCTTCTCTTAGGTTCTTATGACCTTGGGCCAGGCACATGCTTTAAGTCAAAGCTACCTCACAATGTTGGAATGGAGAATTACGTAAGCCACCTTGGGTAAAAATGAAGAAAATAAAAATCGTGAAGATTTTAAGAGACCCCCCTTCATAAACTGAGGCCCCAAACTGCACGTATAGCCGGCTCTGAGCCTGGGAAAGCATTTCCTCTAGCCATTCCGCCGAGCCAGCATTAGTATGTGCAGTGTTTATTTTTCTTCTTTCCCTTTTCCAAGCGGCAGAACAGGTGTCAGTCAGACGATGAATACAAGCCACCAGCCTTTGAAGCAGCAGGTACCGAGCTAGCGCTTGGAATTAATTAGCATTTAGAAAGCCTACACACTTTCACGATAATGCTGCAAAGATAATCTTTGTCCTTTCTTGCAAATTAAAATACCTATTAAAATGAGCAAGGACACACAAACTTGGCTCGTAATTGTATCTCCTAAACAAGACTGCTCCGTTTAAAAAAATAAAATGAAATAATATAATAAAATTAATAAGCAGCTAACTCCAGCAGTTACATGACAAGCCCACAGAAACGAGCGGCGTGTCGAAACTTATGTTCTTCACAAATGCAATTTATTTTCATGAGCATCTGGTAGGCTAACAGATATAGCCAGGCTTCTCTGAATCTGAGCTGCGGTCTGTCATCTGTCCTCAGACATGCTGATTCACGTTCCACAGACATCAGGATCTATTCCTATCGGCTGCTGATAGCTTCAGAGGGGATTCGTGTTGGTCTGCAGCTTGGAGACCAAGAATGTTTTCAGAGTGTGAACTTTCGAGAAGCAAAGTATCTAACAACAAGTATCTCAGAAGCTTATAACCCACGAATCTTTTCAGAGGGGTAGCCATGTTGGTCTGTAGTAGCACAGCAAGATTCGAGAGCCAGACAGGAGTGGGAGGAGGGAAGATGACCAGAGCACCTGCCAAAGGTTGTAGTACTAGATGGGAGAGCATGTGAATTTCACGTGGACAAACAAAACAAACCAGAGGGGGCAGCCTGGCAGGCAAGAGAACCGGCAAAAATGAATGAAAAGGCGTTTCACGTTGGTGGTCTTCTATCGGAGGTAGGGGTCATTTCGTAGAAGGAGAGGTGCAGGAGCTCATTAGCATAACTCATTAGCATATGCCACACCCCCTGGCATCGGAGAGGTGGTGTGGGCTAGAAGCTGGGGAGTGTGTGTGATGATGGTGAAACGAGAGTGGGCATGATTACAGCCAAAGAGGAGAGACGTTATATTCAGTGTGACTTCCCAAACACTGTAGTGGAGGAGAGTGAGGGCAGAAGGCAAAGCCAGATGGGAGTGGGAGGAGGGAAGATGACCAGAGCACCTGCCAAAGGTTGTAGTACTAGATGGGAGAGCATGTGAATTTCACGTGGACAAGCAGAAAAAACCAGAGGGGGCAGCCTGGCAGGCAATAGAACTGGCAAAAACGATTGAAAAGGAGTTTCACGTTGGTGGCCTTCTATCGGAGGGACTGTGAAATTGCGTTCCCAGTGATGTTTTTGTGGCTCGGCTGTTTGTGAGCGCCGTGATAAACTCCAGCTCCTGGCTGCTGCTTCTTTTAAGCCCCAGTGTCAAAAGTCTGGAAGAAGTCTGCCTTCAGGTGACAGATCTCCTGCCCAACTTGAAGAAGCTCCGGGGCCTGCTTCCAGAACATGGCTGCCTGCTCCTGTCCCCGGGGAACTTCTGGCAGAACGACCGGGAGCACTTCAATAATGATCCCGACATCATTAAAACGATCCACCAGCACGAACCAAAGACGTTGCAGACATCGGCTACCCCCAAAGGTAGGAAGCCTTCGGTGACAGGAGGTGGATTAAGAATGGGGATGGGCAGGAGAGGTTCTGACGGCTTCCTGGCACAACCTGATGGGAATGGAACTCGCTTTGCACATGCGTTTCCAGTCCATCTGGATTTGTCGTTTCTAGCAGTATCTGAGGCTCTTACTGGAGTATAGGAATCTTCCGTGGGAATTGTCTAGACTGAAGCTGTGCATTTTCTAGACTGAAGCCGTGCCAGTTTGGTGTAGTGGTTAGGTGCGTGGACTGTAACCTGGGAGAACCGGGTTTGATTCCCCACTCCTCCACTTGCAGCTGCTAGATGACCTTGGGCAAGCTAGAGTTCTGATAAGAGCTGTCCTTGAAAAAGACCGTTTCTGTCAAGAGCTCTCTCGGCCCCACCTACCTCACAGGTTGTCCATTGTGGGGAGGGGAAGGAAAAGGGGACTGTAAGCCGCTCTGAGACTCCCTTGGGTAGTGAAGGGCGGGGTATAAATCCAATCTCTTCTTCTCTTATCAATTTTTTACAATTATTATTTAATTTTCACATACATAAAACAATAACAGAAACTATAAACAGTGTAACAAAGTGTACATTAGAGAGTTATGGCTGTTCAAACTTATACAACTAATGCAATATCCATAAAGAAAGAATGACATCATAAGCCAATAGCAGTACCATACCTATAATATAATGTACATAAGTATAAGTATAAAGATTTTGATCATTTGGGAATTTCCTCAAGCTGTGACCAAAAAAATCTAGTATAATAAACTACACGTCTGCAAAGACGTTGTGTGGTGGGTTTAATTCGTACTGATTTATCTGATATGTAATTTTTTCCATTACATAAATCTCCCATATCTTCCGGTACGATAATGCGAGTGTAGGCGGATGGACCCTTCCATGTTAAAGCTATGACTGATTTTGCTGCCACCAAAAGGATAGAGATAAGTTTCTTCCTGATTTGTGACACTGAGACTTCTGGCCAGTAATTCAAAAATATTAGTGCAGGGGAATAGGGCACCTCATAGCCAGTTATTACTGCTATTTGATGTAATACTTCCTTCCAAAATGGCTGAATTTTCTCACATTGCCACCAACAGTGTGCATAGGGTCCCACCTGCCCACATTTCTTCCAACACAGTGGTGAATAGGGCTTATAAATACGTTATTTTATTTTTTTTTCCTTCAAAATGTTAACGGGATTTGCATCTTCGTACCCGTGAGCCCTTATACTGACCGAGTAACTTCATCAACGTTACCTGCTAATCTCTTTGGCGGGATATAAGAGTGGCTTCCTCATAAAGCATCTCAAGGCATTTCCCAGACGTAAATCAGACTGGGATTGGGGTCTTGTGCATAGGCAGCTGGACAGTGTCACCATTGAGAAGAAAATTTAGCAGGCAGTTTTGGAAGGAGGACCCGAGAAGTTCGAGACCCGAGTGTGCCGCATGACGGAGTGAGCTCCTGTCTCTAGTTCCAGCTCTTGCCAACCTAGCAGTTCGAAAGCAAGAAATTGCAAGTAGATAAATAGGTACCACTTCGGTGGGAAGGTAACAGTGTTCCGTGTGCCTTGGTGTTTAGTCATGCCGGCCACATGACCACGGAAACGTCTTCGGACAGCGCTGGCTCTTCGGCTTTGAAACGTAGATGAACACCACAACCCTAGAGTCGGACTCGACTGGCTTTCGAGCAAGGGAACCTTTACCTTTACCTTTTTTTGGAAGGAGGAGTTTTATGTGTCCAGGAAATGCTTGTTGTTGGGGATGCTTTAAGGTAATTTTTTTCCGGATCCACAAAAGTATCCGCCCCCCACACACACCCGGAATAGGAATGTGTGTCAGTTTCTTAGGAAAGGCAAAGAACCGTATTTCCTACTCAATCGCACCTTTCAACCTTCAGTGTGTTTCTCGCACTTCCTCAGATCTGTTGTTCGGAGTTCCAGGGAAGTACAGCGGGGTGAACCTGTACAATAGGAAGCGGGTGGTATCCTACACCGTCACCTTGGCTCTGCAGCACTACGATTCCAGGTGGGAGTTGAATTCTCATTGTGTGTACAGGTGATCATGATAAGGTCGTGGAAGACACCACTGGTGGACCTCCTGATGGCACTGGTCTATCAGTAGCTACTAGCCATAGTGATTGAGGGGAACCTCCACATTCAGAGGCATTAATCCTCTGAATCCTAGAGCCAGGAGGCAACATCAGATCCTCTGCTGCATTGTTGGCTGTCCAGAGGAAATGGTTGGCTACAGTGTGAGACAGGATGCTGGACTAGATGGACTATTGGTCTGATCCAGCAGGGCTCTTCTGATGATCTTATCAGGGGAAGGCCTCGGCCTCTTTGCCCTGTTGTTGGCCCTCCAGAGGAACTGGTTGGCCCCTGTGTGAGATCGGATGCTGGACTAGATGGACCTTCCCTGGTCTGACCCAGCAGGGCTCTTCTGAAGTTCTTATCAGGGGAAGGCCTTGGCCTCTCTGCCCTGTTGCTGGACCTCCAGACGAACTGGCTGGCCACTGTGTGAGATGGGATGCTGGACTAGATGGATCCTCCCTGGTCTGACCCAGCAGGGCTCTTCTGAGGTTCTTCTCAGGGGAAGGCCTCGGCATCTGTGCCCTGTTGTTGGCCCTCCAGAGGAACTGGCTGGCCCACGAGTGAGATGGGAGGCTGGACTAGAGGGACCCTCCCTGATCTAATCCAGCAGGGCTCCTCTGATGTTCCTTTCAGGGGAAGGCCTCGGCCTCTCTGCCCCGTTGTTGGCCCTCCAGTGTGAGACAGGATGCTGGACTGGATGGACCACTGCTCTGATCCAGAAAGGCTCTCCTTATGCTCTTATGAATGCTGAGAAGTAACCCATGGTCAAGTTTGCAGCAGTGCTTGTTTCATTCGTCCCGGGTAGGAGCGTGTGGCTGGCCAGTGAGCTTCGGCTTCGTGGTTCAGATCCCCGTTTTGCCACGGAAGCTCACTGGATGACACGCCTCTCCTCCTAGGCCAGCTCACAGGCTTTTGCAAACAAAATGGGGGAAAAGAGAATGAGGTGTGCCGCCCAGAGTTTCTCCAAAGACGTGCAGGATGAAAACGTAATAAATGATGTCCAGCCCATAATTGGAAGCCCGTGGGATAAACCTGCTTGGCAGAAGTTATAGAGGAGCCCTGTAGGTTTCCAGTTCTGTGCTACAACCACAGAGAGCCTTCCCTCAAAAGGCCAGTTGGGCTGGAGAGCAGTGTTCCCTCTAAGCTGAGTTAGTGTGAGCCAGCTCACAGTTTTTTAGCCTGCGGCTCACACGTTTTTGTCTCTGCTCGGGAAGGAGGGCTCCAGAGCAAACTGATTTATGCAGCAGCCAAATGGCTCACTCACAACTTTAATGCCAGCAGCTCACAAAGTAGAATTTTTGCTCACAAGCAGTGTTCCGTCTAAGCTGAGTTAGTGTGAGCCAGCTCAGAGTTTCTTAGCCTCTGGCTCACTCATTTTTGTCTAATTTATGCAACAGCCAAATCGCTCGCTCACAACTTTGATGCCCGTAGCTGCAAAGTAGAACTTTGCTCACAGGACTCCACAGCTCAGAGGGAGCACTGGCGGAGAGAGCACGTCTCGAACGCGGTGTCCTTTGTGCTTTCCCGGCAGGTTCCTCTCCAGCCTCCGCTCCCGCCTCAAGCTGCTGCACCCCAGCCCCAACTGCACCCTGCGGGAGGAGCAGATCGTCCACGTCCACTTCAAGGAGGAGATCGGCATCGCAGAGCTGATCCCCCTCGTCACCACCTACATCATCCTCTTCGCCTACATCTACTTCTCTACGCGTGAGTTGGAGGGGGCTGGCAGGCTCCGTCCAGGGGGCTGCAGAACTAGGTTTCTCCCTGCGTGGTGAAGCGGCAGAGTGGCCAGTGCCTGCAGTGCCTGCCTGGGAAGGAAGCAGGGAGAGAAACAGCAGCTTGGAGGTCTCTTCAGTACACGCCGGAAAGGGCATTATTTTAAGGGCTTCTGCAGCGTTTGGTGGGATTGCTTTGGGGCCTGGAGAAGGAGGACCTTGGCTGTGGTTTTGGAGAGAGGACATGTGCATTTTTTTTTTTTAATAAAGGTTTTATTAGCTCCCCTAAAAAGGGGAGGTATTTCGCTTAAAAGAAAAAAAGGGAAGGGTAGACAGTGGGAGAAAGAGAAAGCTGAGTGATATATAAACTGGTAAATTAAACTGTTAGGAGGTATAACACAGAAAGATGGAGTACTCTCTGTGTCAAGGTGAGAAGAAAAATGGTAGGCAGGTCATTTGTATCTACTCAGGAAGGTGGGGTAGGGCTGAGCCATTATCTTGTAGGAGTTGCTGGTAACTCAGCCCTGCCCCACCTTCCTGAGTAGATATAAATGACCTGCCTACCATTTTTCTTCTCACCTTGACGCAGGGAGTCCTTCATCTTTCTGTGTTATACCTCTGAGGATGCCAGTCACAGCTACTGGCGAAACGTCAGGTCTGACAATGCCAAGACCACGGCCAGGCAACCTGGGAAATCTACAACAGCTAATTTTCATTTTTCATTGCATCCTGCCTTTGAGATTATTTATTTATTTATTCAAGAACATTTTTGTGCCCCCCTTTCTAATCAGAGTCTAGAAGGTGGCGAACGTAGAAAATTAAATGCTTAAACAATTTTTTAAAAAAACTTACAATTATAAAATAACATAAGCAACACTAAAGGATGGCCAATAACTGTTATTGGGGGTATGCCGGGTGAAACAAAGAAGTCTTCAACTGCCGGCGAAACACAACAGTAGGGGGAGACAGGTGAGTCTCCCTGGGGGGAGAGCTCCAAAGATTTGGTGCCATTACAGAGAGGGCCCTTTCTTAGGTGCCTGGCGCCCCCCCTCCTGGTCTAGCCCCAAGTGGCAGGAACAACTGAAGCAGGGGGCGTCCGAGGATGACCGGAGTGAGTGGGTAGGTTCCTATGGTAGAAGGCTGTCCTTAAGGTATGCTGGTCCCAGGCCAGACAGGGCTTTAAAGCAGGGGTGTCGAACTCATTTGTTACGAGGGCCGGATCTGACATACATGAGATCTTGTTGGGCCGGGCCACATGTGTCATAACATGTAACGTCAGGTAGCGGAGATATAAACTTTATAAAGGACACAAACACAAATGCTTTTTTTTAAAACTTAAAAACATGCTTGAAACATTTAGCACTCTTGCAGTATTTCATTTATTTAAGAGTGTCTGATCACTGACACCTCTTGCTCTGAATTATTGCACCAAAATGTCTGTGCTGTTGCAATCTTGAGTATGCTGTTCAGGTGTGTCTCTGTAAGCTGCAAACCTACGATGACGCAGCAGCAGCAGAACGGGAAGCAGAAGCAGAAGGCAGCCAGTTCCACTGCGGGCCTGATGGAAGCCCTCCGGGGGCCTGATCTGGCCCCCGGGCCACATGTTTGACACCCTTGCTTTAAAGGATATGTTTGACGTTGTCAGACCAACCGCCTTGTTTCAGAATTGGGACATGTCTCCCGAAAGAGACACATGGGCATAGACAGGCCTGCTGCAGACCGCGCCCTGTCCGCTGCCCTGGCCTCACCTCTCTAGCTTTGGGGGTGGTGCTTTGTCTCAATCCAGGGACTGAAGTAGTAGACCCTTTGCTCTCTCTCCCGCAGGCAAGATCGACCTGGTGAAATCAAAATGGGGTTTGGCCCTGGCGGCGGTCGTGACTGTCCTCAGCTCTCTGCTCATGTCCGTCGGCCTGTGCACGCTCTTTGGCCTGACGCCGACACTCAACGGAGGGTATGTGCCGAAAACTAGATTACTGGCTGAAGTGGTGTGTGTGTGTGTGTGTGTGGAGGAGTCGCAGAACAGCAGCTGCTGGATTTGTGCCCCAGATGTGGAGTTGTATAAGATTATGCATGGGAAAGAGCAGGCAGAGAAAGAGGTACTTTTCTCCCTTTCTCACAATACAAGAACTCTTTGTGGGCACTCCATGAAATTGCTGAGCAGTCGGGTTAGAACGGATAAAAGGCAGTCCTTCTTCACCCAAAGAGTGATTCGCAGTTGGAATTCACTGCCACAGGAAGTGGTGGCGGCTACAAGCATGGACGGCTTCAAAAGGGAATTAGATAAGCAAATGGAGCAGAGGTCCATCAGTGGCTATTAGCCACAAGGTATAGATAGGGGCTCTGGAGCAAGTGATGCTCTGTCATCTTGGTGCTTGGGGGGGGGGCAACAGTGGGAGGGCTTCTAGTGTCCTGGCCCCACTGCTGGACCTCCTGATGGCACTGGTATTTCTGGCCACTGTGATACAGAGTGTTGGACTAGATGGGCCTTTGGCCTGATCCAACATTGGCATCTCTTATGTTCTTATGTTCTTATGCTTCCCCAGACTGATGTATTCCGGCCTCCTTTCCATTCTCCTGTGCCTGCCCAATTAAACTCCCGTGTCTGAATGTCCTGTTTCCAAACCTTTTAAGTTAAAAAGAGTCACATACTACGTTTTACAAGCGTCTGCTTAAAAATGTAAAGTGCAAATGCAACCAGAAAATCATACAGGGTAATTTGTCAAAAGAGTTAGGAGTCGCTGCGGCCCCATAACATGTGCATCGACCCATAGGGCTTGTAGAATACGTTGCCAAAATTCATGTAAGTTGGGGAGGACAGAGGCGCGGTGAGATTTGACTGAGCCTTTGACCGGGGGGAGAGGTGTCAGAATTCTCCAGAACACCATAGTGAGCAAAGCTGGGGTCTCTGGTGAGAGGAGGAAATCAACAAAACACACCCACCCACTTTTGAAACCCCTAAATGACCTTAAATCTTAGTACTATTCATTGATTTTGTTATAGTCCACTCCTTCTCACTGCATTTAATAACAATGGAATCAGAGCCATATAGGACATAAAATGAATACAATAGCACAAGATTACAACATTTGTGAACAGCACAGTAAAATAGTATGGTTTATACAATAAGACAGAACAATACGTAAGTCAAACAGTGAAACAAAAGCTGATTAGAAAACTATAGGGACAGTACAACAGTATGCTGTATGCAATAAAGCAATAAAAATAACAAATTTCACAGGCATTACAATCCTGCTGTACT